TCATCTTGGGCTTGCTTGAATCATCGTCTTTATCAAAATCATATCATGGGCATGTAGGGAAATGTTTCACATTGTCACCAATGTCTTTAATTCAGCTTGTCCTTAATTCAATTCATCTTGAATGGTGTTTGTTGAACATACAAGAACTTGATGTTGAACTTACATGGACAAGAAGCTTGTTGATTTTGATGATGATTCAAGAACAAAGAACTTAGAGAGTTGAAGACTTGTATTATTGTGTAATAACTCTGTTTTGTTGAGTTTGAGTCTGTAATATTAGAGTCTAAGATAGCCGGTACATAGTGTACTATTTAGAAGCTTCAAAAACTCATATTTATCAAAAAGTCTCGGGTTTAATCGATTAAAACACCAAATAATCGATTATCACAATGAGAAAAACCATTTTCCGTATCAGCTCACTATGTTAATCGATTAACACACCTGTTAATCGATTAACAGGCCAGTTAATCGATTAATAGGGCACTTAATCGATTAAACCAATGCGTGTTGGGGTTCTGTTGATTTTGGCTCTGTAATAATCGATTAACACTTCATTTAATTGATTATTTCAGTCAGATTTGGATTTTGAACTTCAAATTAAACCTATTTTCGAAAACCCTAATCCTAATACTCCAAGTTCCGAAAATTCCCAATTCCCAAACCCTAATTCATCTACTTAAGGTTCTCTAAGGCTCTCAGAAAATAGAACAACCTTTTTCAAACAAAAGTTGAGAGATGTGATTGCCAGAGAACTGTTTGTTGGAGGAAAAATGGGCTTTTGGAACCTGGTGTGGGCTAGAAGCGATAAGAATCACTAAGTGGAGTTCTTAGTGGATTGTGTGTTGTGCCGTCTCTAGGGAAAGTTGTTCTTCATCTCTTGTGGGTTTCAAGAGAGGTGTTTTCTTTACTTTATCTTTTCCATTGTTATCTGTGTCGTAACAACTTTGATTATAGTGACAGCGTTAATCCTCTGTTTGAGTGATTAGCAACTGGACGTAGGGTCTTTTGATCCGAACCAGTATAAATCTCCTGTGTAAGACTCTATCTCTATTCTATTTACGTTTACACAGTATTTTAATCGGTAAAATTTGGGAAAAAATTTTAAAACTTAATTTTTGTTAAGAAACCAATTCACCCCCCCTCTTGGTTTTTGTCCGACAACACAAACATTCTGCTGCGCGATTCTAACAATGTTGACTTGAATGTAGTGAAAGTGATGAAGATCTTATTGAATTACTTTGGCAAAGATCTTGTTGATTTGATGAAGTAAAAAATGAAGTCAAAGGCTATTTTGTGGCAGTCAAAGGTCACTTAAATAAAAGGGTAGTGGGATAATCATTTTTATCTCTCTGCTGCATGAGGTTTCTTCATTTAAAAGATTTTGCAAATGCCTCTAAAAAATGTTTAAACGGTTAAAAACAAAGTATTTTGATAAAAGGTTTTTTAATTAGCTATTTTAACTAATAGCATATAAGCTTTATCAACTAAAATGTTCTTAACACTTTTGTAACAGGTTTTTAACTGATATGTTTTCGAAATAATCGATTGTTTTCATTAGAAGGATTTTTGAAAATCTTCTGCCAGTATTTTAACTGATATAGAATTGATATAATCAATTAAAATGACTTAGAATATTTTGAAAAGTGTTCTGACAGAATTTTAATCGATACATACTCGAAATAATCGATTGAAATAACTTGAAGTGTTTTGAAAGTTGTTTTGTCAGTATTTGAATCGATACAAATACGAAATAATCGATTAAAACAACTAAGAGGTTTTTCCAGAATGTTTTAATCGATTAAAACATGCTTGCTATCAGTTAAAATAACTTAGAAAGTTTTATGAAATCTTTTGGCAGAATTATAATCGATTAAAATGCGTTTCAATCGATTAAAATAACTAAATGAATTATTTTCAAAGTGTTTTAATTGATTAAAACAGATTGTTATCGATTAAAATCACTTAGAAAAGTTTATAAGAATGTTTTGTAGCTTTTTAATCGATTGAAAGACGAAACAATCGATTAAAACAGTTTGGAAGATTTCTTACAAAGAGATTTAATTAATATAAACGGTGTCATATCAGTTAAAACA